TGTCCCCTCAGTTTCCCCTCAGTGTCCTCTCAGTGTCCCCTCAGTTTCCCCTCAGTGTCCTCTCAGTGTCCCCTCAGTTTCCCCTCAGTGTCCTCTCAGTGTCCCCTCAGTTTCCCCTCAGTGTCCTCTCAGTGTCCCCTCAGTTTCCCCTCAGTGTCCTCTCAGTGTCCCCTCAGTTTCCCCTCAGTGTCCTCTCAGTGTCCCCTCAGTTTCCCCTCAGTGTCCTCTCAGTGTCCCCTCAGTTTCCCCTCAGTGTCCTCTCAGTGTCCCCTCAGTTTCCCCTCAGTGTCCTCTCAGTGTCCCCTCAGTTTCCCCTCAGTGTCCTCTCAGTGTCCCCTCAGTTTCCCCTCAGTGTCCTCTCAGTGTCCCCTCAGTTTCCCCTCAGTGTCCTCTCAGTGTCCCCTCAGTTTCCCCTCAGTGTCCTCTCAGTGTCCCCTCAGTTTCCCCTCAGTGTCCTCTCAGTGTCCCCTCAGTTTCCCCTCAGTGTCCTCTCAGTGTCCCCTCAGTTTCCCCTCAGTGTCCTCTCAGTGTCCCCTCAGTTTCCCCTCAGTGTCCTCTCAGTGTCCCCTCAGTTTCCCCTCAGTGTCCTCTCAGTGTCCCCTCAGTTTCCCCTCAGTGTCCTCTCAGTGTCCCCTCAGTTTCCCCTCAGTGTCCTCTCAGTGTCCCCTCAGTTTCCCCTCAGTGTCCCTCCCTCAGTGTCCCCTCAGTGTCCCCTCAGTGTTCCTTGCTCAGTGTCCTCTCAGTGTCCCCTCAGTTTCCCCTCAGTGTCCCTCCCTCAGTGTCCCCTCAGTTTCCCCTCAGTGTCCCTCCCTCAGTGTCCCCTCAGTTTCCCCTCAGTGTCCCCTCAGTTTCCCCTCAGTGTCCCCTCAGTGTCCCCTGCAGCCCGGGTCCCTCCTGTGCTGAGATGGAGCCCAGCCAGGGCTGGGGCAGAGCAAACCCTCCAGGAAACCTCTGCCCTCAGCGAGCCCGTCCTGCAGGAGCCTGTCTGCAATGACAATCCTGCTTTTGGCCCTTTCTGGGTGCTTCTGCCCGAGTTCTGGTGCTGAGGGATAACTCAGGAGCAGATTCACTAAAATTTAGCTTTGTCCCAGACATCCTGGCCCTTAGGCCTCACCTCATGCCCCTCACCCTGTCACCACTCACTGGGGCAGCTCTGGAGCCCGTGGCACTGGGGTGGCTCCAGTGCCACATCCTGGTGGGTCCCTTTGCAGGGACACAGGGACAGGGATGGGCAAACAGGGTCCAGCAGTTTCTTGGGCATTTCTGCGGCACCCTCCCCAGCAGTGTCACCCAGGACCCACATTGCAGACCCAGGAGATTTCCTATAAAATTAAAGCAATGCTGTGAAAAGCTCCAAGTCAGTTAAAATATGTTTGTATGAGAAGTGAGGCACATGTTGGGATTTCTGGGGTGGTCCTGTGCAGGGCCAGAAGCTGGACACAATGATCCTTGTAGGTCCTTTTCAGCAGGAATTTGCCCATGGAAAGGGTGCTCAGGCCTTGGCAGGGGCTGCCCAGGGAGCTTTGCAGTGCCCATCCCTGCAGGTGTCCCCTGGGGGTGGCACTGAGTGCTCTGGGCTGGGGACAAGGGGGCACTGGGCACAGCTGGCACTGCCTGGGCTGGGAGGGCTCTGCCAGCCCCAGGGATTTGGGGATTCTGTCCCTTTCAGCTCAGGATATTCCACGTTTCCATGATTACATGGCATGAAGGTGAAGCTGGAGCAGTCACAGCAAGGGGTGCTCCACAACTCTTAGAGTCAGACCTAAAAGATACCAAGGGTTAAATCTGGATCCTGAAATGAGAGAGCTTTCTTAGGGGCAGAGAGGAATTAATTTACCCTCCACTGCATTTCCCCTGGTTGTTACAGCAGAGAAACAAACAGGAATGTCTTTGTGCTGAGAGCAGAGTCCCTCAGTGGGGACAGAACTACAATTCCAGCCTGCCTGGGGTCTCCACTGTGGAGCCCCCACACCTCTGCTGCCTGTGGGGTCTTCCAGTATCCCTCTCCCTTCTAAGGAAAAAACCTGCAGGTGTCCCCTGGGGGTGGCACTGAGTGCTCTGGGCTGGGGACAAGGTGGCACTGGGCACAGCTGGCACTGCCTGGGCTGGGAGGGCTCTGCCAGCCCCAGGGATTTGGGGATTCTGTCCCTTTCAACTCAGGATATTCCATGTTTCCATGATTACATGGTATGAAGGTGAAACTGGAGCAAGGGGTGCTCCACAACTCTTAGAGTCAGACCTAAAAGATACCAAGGGTTAAATCTGGATCCTGAAATGAGAGAGCTTTCTTAGGGGCAGAGAGGAATTAATTTACCCTCCACTGCATTTCCCCTGGTTGTTACAGCAGAGAAACAAACAGGAATGTCTTTGTGCTGAGAGCAGAGTCCCTCAGTGGGGACAGAACTACAATTCCAGCCTGCCTGGGGTCTCCACTGTGGAGCCCCCACACCTCTGCTGCCTGTGGGGTCTTCCAGTATCCCTCTCCCTTCTAAGGAAAAAACTGCATTTCCAGAAATTCTTTTCCACCACGTTCAGGCAACAACCAGTCCCAGCCAGGGGGAGTTGTACAAATTGTTGTGATTCAGACACACTCGTTCTGCATTTCCCTGGATTCATCACTGACCCCATCCTGCATGTGCTTAGAGCAGATGTTCTGCCCCTTTCACTAAAGTCTGGGAGCATCTGGCTTTGCTCTGCTGCTCTGGGCACCATGTGCCAGCCCTGCCCACCCTGCCAGGGAACAATTCCTCATTGCCCAGATCCCATCCAGCCCTGCCCTCTGGCACTGGCAGCCATTCCCTGGCTCCTGTCCCTGCAGGCCTTGTCCCCAGTCCCTCTCCAGTTTTCCAGGGGTTCCTGTTATCCCCTGCTGCCCCGAGCTCCATTCTGAAGGCACCCCTTGCTGGGTGCCTGCAGCAGCAGCGTGGTGGGAAATCACCTGTGCCCTCCAAGCCATCCCAGACTGGCCACAGCCAAATGGGCCAGTGGGCCCTGTGGGGCAGCACGGGCTGCAGCTGAGGTGGAAATTTGCAGAGTGGCTGCAAAAGGCCATTGCCGTGACAGACAGTCCCCAGGCACAGGGACAAGACCCTAATCCGATTAAGAGGCTGATTCACCTGCTGTTATTCCTCCGCTATTGTGCCCATCTGAAGGGATTTAGAGGTTAAAGAGCTGCTGTGGGGATAAAACCAACCATTAGAGGGATCAGTACAGGAGAACAGCATGGAGTGGGCCCGTATGAATGGAAATTACTTCTGCCTCTCTTCCTCCTGTTTCCTTTGCCTTCCTCCTTCCCCCTTCCCTGCCCCTCCTTCCCTCTTTATGGCCATCATTACCCATCCATGAAAAGTCATCTTGCTCCCACACCAGTAAAAGCAGACCCTGATGGGTCACAGAGTGGTTCCAGGCCAGGAGGCTTCTCACCACAAGCCATGTCTCTGCCTGTTTTCAACAGGCTCCAGAAACCCAGCATTTATTAACCACATTTTAAAAATAATATTAATGCTGCAGGTAACACTCCCCTCCAGCCTCTGTGTTTGATGTGGTCCTGCCTGTCCCAGGCTCACCCTCCTGCTGCCCCTCCCTGAGCGTTTCCCTGCTGCTGGTTCAGATGTAGCAGGAAAGCATCACTATCTTCCCTCTTTTAAAGCTCGGCCTTGCAGAGCTGAAAATGAATCTCCTATCACAGACGAGGCGAGTGCATTGCTAAGAACAGCCCCAGATGCAGCCTGGGTTTTAATTTCAGTGCCAGGGAATTCAGGCTGCAGAGAGGTAATAAATGCAGAGGCCACTGAGGCCATTCATTGTCATCCCCAGCTGGGCGAGCAGCTGCTGGCTTGGGATGGGAATGCCTGCCTGGGAATTCAGGGCTGCACTATTCCATCACACTCCTTGTAGCTCTGAAGGGTGAATTTGGGCAACTTCTGGAGTCCCCAGATCTGTTGAGAGGCACGGGTGTGTCGTGTGCCTGCTGTGCAGGTGAGCAGCCCAGGCAGCACCGATACCTTTATCTGCCCCACACAGCCCCGCTGCCCGGGCTATCAGAGCCTGCCTGGGGCTGCTGAGAGCGCCTCTCCCACGGCCCAGAAGTGGAAAAAATTAATAAAGTCTCATAGAACCCTGTGGTGAGGAGCTACAGTGTGACTGCAGATGTGAATGGCCCAAGGGGATCACAGTGATGGGCTCGAGCCACTGTGTCTCCAGTGAGATCACACAGTGCCAGACTGCTGCAGCTTGGGAGGGACCTTAAACCTCACCAGTGCCACCCTGCCCTGGCAGGGACACCTTCCCCTGTGCCAGGCTGCTCCAGCCCCAGTGTCCAGCCTTTGGGAGGGACCTTAAACCTCACCAGGGCCACCCTGCCCTGGCAGGGACACCTTCCCCTGTGCCAGGCTGCTCCAGCCCCAGTGTCCAGCCTGGCCTTGGGCACTGACAGGGATCCAGGGGCAGCCCCAGCTGCTCTGGGAATTCCATCCCAGCCCCTGCCCACCCTGCCAGGGAACAATTCCTCATTGCCCAGATCCCATCCAGCCCTGCCCTCTGGCACTGGCAGCCATTCCCTGGATCCTGACACTGCAAAAGGGAGAGGGACTGAGATAAAATCCAGGTCTCCAAGGGATTTTTCCAAGTTCACAGGACAATGCACCATGCCATGAATGGGATGTACCAAAACCACAACAGCCATGGCACGAGGTTCGCCTAGTGTGAGGATGAGGCAGAGGATGAGGCAAAGGATGAGTAAAGTGCTTCAAGGGAAGAAGAAATCACAGGTTCAAACAGAAAAGCAGACAGAGAATTCCAGAATCCTAGAATGGTTTGGGTTGGGAGGGGTTTTAAGGATCAACCAGTGCCACCCCATGGCAGGGACACCTTCCCCTGTGCCAGGCTGCTCCAGCCCCAGTGTCCAGCCTGGCCTTGGGCACTGCCAGGGATCCAGGGGCAGCCCCAGCTGCTCTGGGCACCCTGTACCAGGGCCTGCCCACCCTGCCAGGGAACAATTCCTCATTGCCCAGATCCCATCCAGCCCTGCCCTCTGGCACTGGCAGCCATTCCCTTGGTCCTATTTCTGCCTCCCCATGTAAGAAGTCCCTCTCCAGCATTCCCAGATCAATGGACCAGTATGTCTGTAATTGGAGGATTTCTGATGTCTGGATGAGACTTCTCAACCATCCCACAGGTAGACCCAAAGCCACAGATTCAAAGAATGCTGGAATGGTTTGGGTTGGATAATCACCCAGTTCCAGCTCCCTGCGCTGGGCAGGGACACATTCTACCAGAGCAGGTTGCTCCACGCCCCATTCAGCCTGACCTGGAACAATTCCATGTCTGTGGTTGTGTCTGGATGCCTGACAGTTCAAGCATCCTGGCTTTGCCTTTCTGAGCACAGGGGCACAGCTTCACTGGAGGCCTGGAAACCAGGAAAACACCTGTGCAGGTGTCAGCCAGAGTCAGACAAAAGCCTGTAGGCAGAGCCTGACCTGGTGGAAATGGATGCTGCTGGTGGGCTGTGACAGGGCAGGGTCCTGCTGTGCTTGTGCAAGGAGAGACCTCTGAAGGGCTCACACTGGACGCACGTGGGCAGAGCAAAGGAGCCTGTTCACAGCTGCAGCCCACCCTGGCATCCCACACAGGTATTCCTGGAAACCTGGAGCTGAGGAGGTGACCTCTGCTTCACCAACACCATCCCTGCAAGTGTCCAAGGCCAGGCTGGAGAGGGCTTGCAGTGACCTGGGATAGGGGAAGGTGCCCTGTCCATGGCAGGGGGTAGAACAAGAAGAGCTTTAAAGTCCTTTCCAACCCAGACAATTCCATGAATCTAAAGTACCTCTCTGAGGGGTCTGTGCCTGTTCAGGGATGGGTGGAATGTCCACGCCTGTGGTGAACAGGCAGCCAGGGCTGAAGGAGAGAGAGATAAGAGGGTTTTGTGTCCTGGCCTGGCCTGTTAAGGGACTCACAGGGATTTCCTCGAAGACCACACCTCACTGCAGAGTGACCACTGCATGGGGACCCCCGGCAGGGACCCCCGCCCGTGCCAGCCAATGGCCCCGCTGCAGGGGCCGGCCAGGGGCTGGCCCAGGGCATAAAACCCGGCCCAGGCTCTGGGCTCAGCTCAGCTCTGTGAACTCCTGCAGCCACCATGGTGCACTGGTCAGCCGAGGAGAAGCAGCTCATCAGCAGCCTCTGGGCCAAGGTCAACGTGGAGGAATGCGGCGCCGAGGCCCTGGCCAGGTGGGTGCAGCTCCAGAAGGGCCCTGCAGTGCAGGGAGCCACTGGGTCAGGCAGCTTCACCTGCCTGTGTCTCTCCCCAGGCTGCTGATCGTCTACCCCTGGACCCAGAGGTTCTTCTCTGACTTCGGGAACCTGTCCAGCCCCACGGCCATCATCGGCAACCCCAAGGTGCGTGCCCATGGCAAGAAGGTGCTGACCTCCTTCGGGGAAGCCGTCAAGAACCTGGACAACCTCAAGGGCACCTACTCCAAGCTGTCCGAGCTGCACTGCGACAAGCTGCACGTGGACCCCGAGAACTTCAGGGTGAGCTGTCCTTGGAGCTTTACCCTCTGCTCCTCCTTCCTCAGAGCATCTCAGTGCCTTGGGGGTTTCCAACAGGCATCAGTAACTTGTATTTTACTTACCAAACAGGACATGGCTGACTGGAGTGGGAACTGGGGGACAGGGGAAGGTTGGGAATTCAATAGTGCAGGGTAATACTAGGCTCTGGGCTGCAAGGACAAATTTGGTGACAAACATAGGGGGATTCTCTAAAAGTCTGGGGGCTTGTGCAGGCATGGCTGGAGAAAAGGAGCAGGATGTTGGCCTCTGCTTCAGCCTCTGTTTAAACCTGGCTCTGGGGATGCAGAAGGTGGACCTCACACTGACCCTCAGCTGAAGTAGGTGTGGGGTTTCACAGCAGAAAAAGGAAAGGCAGAAAAATGTCTAGTGGCTGGAAAATGTGAGAGGAGGCAGAGATGGAGCAGGTGGGCACTCATGCCCACGGCCAGCACAGGGCTCTTGTCCTGCAGCTGGCAGAGCTTCCCTGGGCCACGGCCCCCACACCCACTGGGGAGCTGGGGTCCCTGGTCCTGGGCTGCTGTGCAGGGCCAGGGGGTGACCAGCACTCTGCTGACCTCATTTCTCTCTTGCCTTCCCCTGTGCAGCTCCTGGGTGACATCCTGGTCATCGTCCTGGCTGCCCACTTCGGCAAGGACTTCACCCCTGCCTGCCAGGCCACGTGGCAGAAGCTGGTCGGGCTGGTGGCCCACGCCCTGGCCCGCAAGTACCACTGAGGCCTCGGGAGGCACCTGTGTCTGTAAAGGGCAATAAAAAACACATTTTTCTGGAATTCTTTGTGTTCCGTGTCTCTGTGGCTGCCCCCTGCGCCTCTCCTCCTGGGATAATTGCAAGAATATAAATTCATAGAGATTCACCGATTACGCAGAAATTTACCCCTCCATAGTTTGCTACTGATGTATTAAGTTGATCGAAAGCATTTTCTGCATCAGTGATGGGGCAGGACTGGTGCATCTTGGTCAGAGTTTGGTATCTGAAATGTGTAAGATCCCAAGAGCAGGGGATGAGGGCAGCTCTCGCACAGGATGGGTTAGAGTCCTTTTTTACTCATTTTGGCTTAATGAAGCACATCTTTTCACTGGAACTGAAAGATGTAAGCATCTCAGTTTCAGCAATGTTTTGCCAGGAACAGCCTAAAAAGCAGCAAGGAGAGACATGTTGTTGTCTCAGAACGATAAAACTCTTGTTTTGCATGATTTAGGAATAAATATTCTGCCTTTCTCCTGAGAGAACAGGGATGTGCACTTCACCCCTCTATCCTGCACAGCCAGGCAGGCAAGGTCCAGCTCTGCCAGCAGCAACAAAGGGCTGGGAGAAAAGTATTAGGGAAAAAAGCCCAAAATCTGAATCCAGCTTCCCTGCAGCATGGCTTCTCCTTTCAGCAGCAAAGGGCATTTCAGCAGGATGGCAGGAGGTGAGACCATCCCCACGTCCTGTTCCAGCTCAGAGCTGTGGAACTTTCCAGCACACAATGCTGGATGGTGGGTGCAGCCAGCAGCACCCGGGGGTGCCCAGGGCTGGGTCAGCACCCAGTGCAGTGGCTGGGGACCTCAGCAGGGACTTTCCGTCTCAATGAATTATCTCACTGTGGTCATTCTGCTCTCCTCTCCTCTGGACACGTCCCAGTGGTGCTGTGGGGCATGTCCTGCTCTCTGACCAGCGCCTGGACAGTCCTGTTGTCCAGGGCTAGGGACAGTGACAAGGGTGTGGGGCCTGTGTCACAGAGCCAGCGTCACTCTCCCAGTGACAGCTGTCCCTCTCTGGTGTGACAAAGTCACAGCTACCACCAGCCTCCTGAGCCAGAAATAGGTCAGGAGAGTACAGGAGAGCCCTGGATGCAGGGTGCCCCTGGATCCCTGGCAGTGCCCAAGGCCAGGCTGGACACTGGGGCTGGAGCAGCCTGGCACAGGGGAAGGTGTCCCTGCCCTGGCAGGGTGGCACTGGGTGGGATTTGGGGTCCCTCCAAGACAAACCTTCTGGGATTTTAAAATAGGGACAAAGACACCCCCAGGACCTGCTGGCTTAAGACACAAGGCCCTGCAGTCTCTGGAGGAGCATGGAGCTGGCCTGGCTCCAGAGCAGAGCCTGGGCACAGATGCCACTGCTGCTGATAAGGGCTCTGTAAAGCTTGGCGGGGACACTGCTGCAATCAGGGACCAAGGAACTCTGCTTGGGGCAGGAGGGCCTCACTGCAGCTGCCTTTGGTCCTCGGTGGCATGGTTTGTCTCTAAAGGGAAGGTTCTTGTCCATGGAAGGGGGCAAGTGTGTGGCCAAGACCTGCTCCAGTAGAAGGCTCCCTGCCTGTGGCAGAGGGGGTGGAATGAGATATCCTGAAGATCCCTTCCAGCCTTAACCATTCCATGATCCTGTGATTCCAGGAGTTCAGGGATCTTCCATCCACACCAAAGGGAACAGCCCTGGAAGGATGCTGGAAGGAAGGGTCCTGAGTATAGTGAAATCTATCCCAGGTGGAGAGCAGGGCCTGCTTTTCTGTCTGGGAAGCAGCTGGGAATAAGCTGCCAGGTGCTGCTGGGTTTGCACCGGGGGAAGGAGCTCTCCCTTTGACTCTGCAGACTCAAGAAGAGCCACAGAAATGGCCCCTGCTCAGCACATTGAGATGAACATTTCCCCTCCCAGCCTGTGTCCCAGAGAGCTCCCTGAGCAGGCAGTCCCTGAGCTCCTAATCTCCCAGCCAGGCTGCTGCCCCCAAGGCAGCAAGCAGGGGATTTTCAAGCATACTGAGAATTAAGTCTTTCTTATAAAATTGAAAGGAGCACCAGGGTGAGCCCAAGGCTGGGACTCTCTGGGCTGTGCTCGCCTTTGGTTTTTGCCTGGTCTCTGCAGGACTGCTCAGAGCTGGGGCAGTGCTGACCAGGCTCACCCTGCCATCCTTGCAGGCACCTGGGGGCTGGGTCTGCTCACTGGGAGAGGTGACACAGCCCCTCACTGGAGAGGTGACACAGCCCCTCACTGGAGGGGTGACACAGCCCCTCACTGGAGAGGTGACACAGCCCCTCACTGGAGAGGTGACACAGCCCCTCACTGGAGAGGTGACACAGCCCCTCACAGTGCCTCACTGGCGAGGTGACACAGTCCCTCACTGCCTCACTGGAGAGGTGACACAGCCCCTCACTGGAGAGGTGACACAGCCCCTCACAGCCCCTCACTGGAGAGGTGACACAGTCCCTCACTGCCTCACTGGAGAGGTGACACAGCCCCTCACTGGAGAGGTGACACAGCCCCTCACAGCCCCTCACTGGAGAGGTGACACAGTCCCTCACTGCCTCACTGGAGTGCTGTGAACTGCCCAGAGAGCGGAGGGCATGGTGGGGAGGGGCGTGGGGGCAGCACGGCTGACAGCTTCTGCTCGCTCCCCACAGCTCCTGGGTGACATCCTCATCGTCGTCCTGGCCGCCCACTTTGGCAAGGAGTTCACCCCCGCCTGCCAGGCTGCCTGGCAGAAGATGGTCCGTGTGGTGGCCCACGCCCTGGCCCACGAGTACCAGTGAGCCCCTGGGAGCCCTCCTGCCTGGAGACACTCCTGGGGAATCTCCTCGGGTTCTGCTGGGCTCTAGCCACCCAATAAACACCAGTTGCTCCAGCCTCCAGGAGATGTCTGGCTCTTTGTGGGAACGGGGAGGGAGGGACAGGGGCTCACAAACATGGGATAACGTGAGCCACGATCCCCTTCAGGCAAGTGAAACATGTCTAAGATGGAGATCCCAGGGGCGTGTTCAGGACAAAACTCAAATAAACACCACAAAATACAAACAGGAACACTCTGGAACTTTTTGGGGACATCAGGTGACATTGCTTGGTTTAATGTTTGAAGACTTTCACAGAGTGAGCGGAGTAGAACAAAAATGTGAAGTGGGAGAAGTGACAGAGAAATTGGGGTCATGGCTTGTAACTTCCTGCACGTGAGGTTTTGTTGGCTTGGGGTTTTTTAAAACCCCAAGATTCTTAGATTAGCAAAGGCAGAAGGTAACAGACACAACTCTCAAGACTTGGTTGGATGGGACTTGGAAAAATCTTGGGACAGTGGAAGATGTCCCTGCCCCCCTGTGGCAGGGGAGGGACTGGATGAGATTTCGGGTCCCTTCCAGTACAACCCAGTCTGGGGTTCTGTGATTCCATGAACACCAGTGCTGCTTGCAGAGGGAACAGTGCCACCCCCAGCCTGGCCAGGGTCCTTTGGCCAAGCCCCTGCTGCAGTGAGCAGGGACAAATACAAACACTTTGCTCCAAGGTCATGCAGACCCCAGCAGGGCATTCCCATGCCCCATGAGCTCCATCCCTGTCCCCTCCCACCTTCAGCTGGGCACAGGAGCAGAAGAACAGAGACCCAGCTGCCTCTCCCAGTTCTCATGACACCACTGATCCTCTGGCTGCTGAACCCCTGGATCAGGCACTATCACCCTGCACATCTGTGCAGATGTTTTTTCTTCCTGGAAAGGCTGCCCAGGGAGCTTTGCAGTGCCCATCCCTGCAGGTGTCCCCTGGGGGTGGCACTGAGTGCTCTGGGCTGGGGACAAGGTGGCCATGGGGCACAGCTGGCACTGCCTGGGCTGGGAGGGCTGTGCCAGCCCCAGGAATTTGGGGATTCCGTGGGATCCCAGTAATCCCAGTGTTTTCACCTCTCCACATGCCCTGTGAGTCAGCAGGGAGCTGGTTTGCCCTGGGTTATAACATCTCCTTTCCAGCCCTGCCTGACCTCTGCCAAGAGGTTCTTTGAGACAGGAGCTCCCTCTTGGCTGTGAAGCCTTGCCATGGTTTTAGCAGTGTCATCCTGAAGTTAATCAAACTCCTAAAGAGCTGACGGGAAAGCAAAGGGAGAGCCCAAAGCCTAACAGGTCCTGCAGGAAGAGGAGGACCTGGTGCATTCAGAGGGAGACCCCAGGAGCCCCAGGTCTGTGTCTCCTGCCTCCTTGGCACACCCAAGGGGCACCAGGGCTGGCAGCTTCCCCGGGGAGTGCTGCAGGACGTGCACGGAGCCGTGCTGGGGCTCTGCGTGGAGATAACGGCCCCTTCAGCAGGGCTGGAAATCAGGGACGGGGAGGGCGGCTGGCCAGCCAAGCCCGGTGCTGGGTCTGGGCACCTTGCCCCGGGCCCCACCCTGCTGCTGGGTCCCTCCCCCGGGTGCCAGGACCGTGGGGGCCCCCGGGGCGCAGCCAATGAAGGGGTGCAGCGGGGAGAGGAGGGGCCCCGCGCAGGGGATAAAAGCGGGGCCGGGCAGCGGCTCCCCAGCGTGCGATCCTTCGGGAGCAAGAGCCCAGAGTTCCTCCGTGCGACACGCAGCCCTCCTGCCAACACCATGGTGCAGTGGACAGCTGAGGAGAAGCAGCTCATCAGCGGCCTCTGGGGCAAGGTCAACGTCGCCGAGTGTGGTGGCGAGGCCCTGGCCAGGTAGGTGCAGCTCCAGAAGGGCCCTGCACCTGCAGAGGGAAACACCCCAGCCACAGGAGTGCTGATGTGACTCTGTCTGTGTCTCTCCCCAGGCTGCTGATCGTCTACCCCTGGACCCAGAGGTTCTTCGCCTCCTTTGGGAACCTGTCCAGCCCCACCGCCGTCCTTGGCAACCCCAAGGTGCAAGCCCATGGCAAGAAGGTGCTGACCTCCTTCGGGGAAGCCGTCAAGAACCTGGACAGCATCAAGAACACCTTTTCCCAGCTGTCCGAGCTGCACTGCGACAAGCTGCACGTGGACCCCGAGAACTTCAGGGTGAGTCCTGCCCTGACCTGCCCTCCCCAGTGCAGGCTGTCCCCGCAGCCTGATCCCCACCAGGAGAGGGATTTCCCCAGCCAGGGCAGTGCGGGAGGAAGCGGGGCTGGGGCTGGCTGGGGGGGAGATGCAGAGGGACAGGGAGGGAAGGGAAGCAGTGCAGCCTGGTGGGGAGGCACCGCATGGGCTGAGAGGTGACAGGGGCTGTGGGCAGGGGGCAGGGGAGGGGAGGATGTGGCTCCAGTGAGGAAATGGAGGGGGAGAACAAAGTGAGAGCAGTTGTTGAGCAGAAACTCAACCAAGAGGTTTGAGCCAAGGGGGAAGAGAAGGAGCAAGAGCAAAGTTTGGCACAGAGGAGAACAGAGAGATGAGTGAGGAGCAGGAGATGGCGGCTGGATGCCAGAAGTAAAAGAGGACCTGCAGAGAGAAAACTTTGGCTGAGAGTGTCTCAGTGGGGAATTTACCCCACCATTTGTCCCTAGGCTGGGGCTGGGGCTGGCAGAAATGCCCCTGTGCCAACATGAGCTCCTTGTTTGTGCTCTGTGGGTCCAAGCGCCATCTCCTGCTGTGCTGGGAGCTCAGCTGGGTCTTCTGCTTGAGAGAAACTCCAAAACAAAACCAGAAGGGACAAAGAAAAATTTACTCCAAAAATCTCTGGAGAATTTTTGGTTACTCTTCCCATACAGTAGCAGAACCTGAACCTTTAGAGCAAGAGCAGAGACCAAGTTGAAGGCGCATCTTAGAAAGGACCCGGGGGAGGTTTTTAACACTGCAGATTCCCAGAGGCTTCCCTTCACATGCAATGTGAGTGCATGTGTGGGGCACTGCTAACCCGAGGCTGCTCTTGTCCCCACAGCTCCTGGGTGACATCCTGGTCGTCGTCCTGGCCGCCCACTTCGGCAAGGACTTCACTCCCGACTGCCAGGCCGCCTGGCAGAAGCTGGTGCGTGTGGTTGCCCACGCCCTGGCCCGCAAGTACCACTGAGGAGCCGCAGGAGCGCCTGGCAGCGCCCGCGCCCGCTGCCGCGGAGCCAACCGCTTCTAACAGCCAAATAAAGCTCATCCTGTGAACTCTGCCGCGTCCGTGTGTCCCTGAGGGCGTGCGGGGCTTGGGGGCACAGCTGGCAGCTCCAGCGGGGCCGCAGAAAATACCCCTGCCTTTGTTCTGGGTGCTTTCGGTGGGGCTGGCACCGGGGGCTTTGCACCGAGAGCTACTCAGAATTTTACCGTCAAACCTGCATGTCTCTCCTAGGCGAGGGAAATTGAGAGGATTCATACTTTTCGGGGGGGGGAAGATAAACAAATTGAAGACTTTAATCTACCCTGGCTCATCCCTGGCATAAAACCTACCCAAAATCAGCTGAGTCACACAGGCCCAGCAGCCAGCTGGGTGGGGGCAGGTTTTAGATAAACATTTTGCTATCAAGGCCGGAGCAGACTTTGTTTATTCACATCCCTCCCACCCTGCGCCGCCCACTCTGCAATTGGGGGGGCCTGATTCTGCCAGGAGCAGAGACTTAATTTCCTGGATGGGAGTTTTGGGTGGGTTTGGGTGTCTGCAGAGCAGGACTCTTTGGGTAGGGTTTGTTCTTGGCATGGGAAGCACATCTGAACAGAGCATGACGAGGCAAAAGCGACGCTTGGCTGAAAGGATGTGCCACTTCTAGGGGAAAATATTGGGCTATTCAGACCAGGATTTCTGGCAGCCAGGTTGCACTGTGCTCTGCCTCACCCACATCCCTGGGCACTCACTCTCTGGCCCTGACCCACAGGAAGGTGTTAGAAGCCCTCTGTGATCCATAAATGCCCTTTCTCAGTCACGACACCCAAAGAAAGAGGCATTTTGTTCCTGCTGGCAAGGTACACACTGAGAGGGAGAGAAGATGATTCACAGTCAGTCCCAAAGGGTTTTTCTGCCCGCAGGGAGACTGGGCAGGCACAGATATTTCATGACTTTTCATAGGCTTCATGAGAGGTATGAGAAGTTTCCCATGAAGGTGAGTGTTCATGGGCTTCAGGCAGAAAGGAGTGAACTGTGTGAATGAGGAGATCTCCTCCTGCCAGCAGTGTGTCTGGGGGTGGGAAGGACAACAGAGCTGCAGAGGGACTGGGGACAAGGGAGGGACAGGAGCCAGGGAATGGCTGCCAGTGCCAGAGGGCAGGGCTGGGTGGGATCTGGGCAATGAGGAATTGTTCCCTGGCAGGGTGGGCAGGGGCTGGGATGGAATTCCCAGAGCAGCTGGGGCTGCCCCTGGATCCCTGGCAGTGCCCAAGGCCAGGCTGGACACTGGGGCTGGAGCAGCCTGGCACAGGGGAAGGTGTCCCTGCCAGGGCAGGGTGGCACTGGGTGGGCTGTGAGGGCCCTCCAGCCCAGCCCATTCTATCATTCCATGATCCCACAACCCGAGCAGACCCCCAAGGCTCTGGCATTCCCTGCACCTGCACAGCAGGATGGGAACAGCCCTCAGTGCTGCTGCCTTGTGCCTTCCCTCCCACCTGCATTCCCCCCTGCTCCGAGTGCCCCAGCACACAAATCCTGGGGGGTGTCCTCTGCCCATGCTGCTTTTCCTGCTCCCACTCCCTGATGTCAGAACACCCCTGTGGCTGCCAGCACCCCCTGGGTGGTGCCCAGTGCAGCACTGGCAGCACCCAGGTCCTGGAGGGGCTGATAAGGGGGTGCAGGAGGGTGGGCACTGGTGGTAGCCTGGCAGCCTTTTCCCTGCATATTCCCTCTTCCTGCCCCTGCCAGGCTGAGCTCGCCTTCATTTGCCATGGTGGTCCAGCCCCCAGCTGTGGGGACTGGATTTTCTGGAGAAAAGGCAAATGTAAGCAAATCTAATGAAGATCATTCCTGTTCCACTAAAAAAAGAGTCTACAATTAGTGGGGGGGG